CTTTCTTTAGAAATAGAAGTTCAGCAAAGACAGTGGAAGTTCCAGCTTTCCAAACTTCACCCCCTTCCTTTGTGCCTCACACCTGTTTCTTGATGCCACTTCTAATGAGTAAGAAAATTGTTCAGTCGCCATGATCATTTGATTTTTGTCATTTTTATGCTGAAGTGCCAGTTAATGCCACTGGCAGGTCTGTCCCTGTTCACCTTCATTAAATAACAAACAAGTGAGATAGTCCAGCGGTTGCGTTTTGCAACTGTCAGCATATGAACAGTGTTAATTGTTTGTCTAATGTTAATAAATGGTTAATCAATTTTATGCATAATTATAGCATTAAATAGGTTAATAGGCTTCTGGTAACCATCTAATACCTTATTCTTATGTACTTATTAAAATCTGCATCACATAGTACTCATGTCTGTAATGTGCACATAAACTCTATTAAACATTTGTTAACCCTCTGAAAACTATTTATACATGTGCCCTTTCACAAAGTCTGATCATTATGTGTGTATTATTTCTGGTGTTTGCACTCAAGCACTTAGAGTCAGACACGGCTTATGCTCTTGATCCTGAAGCAGTTAGGAAATTATTTTACATTAACCTTTTATGCTTTTTTTATTTTGTTCTATTTTATTAGAAAATAGTTATTTCTACGAAGAGAACTTGGAGTTGAACCAATTCTATCAGTGAATGTTCAACCGTGGGAACCCAACAATAAAATAAAGGGATGATCAATCAGTTTTCTGTTGTTCTCTGAAGCCAGTCTTTACTTTGGATTTTAAAACTAAGATGACAGGTTCTTTCTCTCTCTCTCTTGTTTCTAATATCTCAGCAAAAAAATCTGAACTCCATTTACAAATAGACGATCCATTCTCCTCCTCCTCCCACCCAATTGTATCACAGAAAGTTGAGGCTGTGAATGTTTGTATAAGTTGTGAATTATTGGCTTCAGCAAATATCTACTTTTCAAACATGTTGACGTGAAAGTGGAAGGAAAAATCCTATTTCCTTGCGCCAGCACCCCAAATATTTCCACAATGCCATTCACACTCAACTGAAATTGCATTTCAGTATGTTCCATTTGATTGGATTCTATCTTTTCTCCCAGTCTGTAATAATAGTACATTTGCAGTTCCCTAGTTTATTTTTGTTTGTGGCCTTTGTGGCCTTTCCCATCTACCGAGAATGCCTTGCCATTCAGCTCCCTCTCTTTCACCCTCCATGCTAAGGATGTTGTTTTACATGTTGCTCTCTCTGTGCTGCAGGAGCAGCATTTCTGTTTGCTGTATTTGTATGTGATACCATGTTACTATAACAGCCAAGTAATCTTTAATAGCTAAGCTCATTTCCCATTTTTCACCTGGTGGTTCTTATGCTCAGGTCCAATCAAGCAATCTGGTAAATCAATAAATACCCAGAACCAAAGAGGGACAATGCCTATTTTAAATAGTATGATAACTTGCCTATGAGTTGTCATGGTAGTGCTGTAAGCTGTACGTGGGTCTCTTCTATCTGGAAAGTCATTAGAACTGGAAGAGTTGGGTGGCAAAATAATTCATGTGAACAAGAAAGTTGTAGTACTTAGAGCAGACTTTGAACTTGATGCTTCTGTTATCAAACCTACATTGCCAGAATGGATTCTGCCTCCCGAGGTATGTGATGTCTCTCCCAGATGCACTGGAGTAAAATGTGCGTGCTGTGAACTCTTAGGCTGTGTCTAGACTATATGCCTCTGTCGTCAGAGGCATGTAGATTAGACACATAGGCGGCAAAGGTAAATGAAGCCGCGATTTAAATGACGAGGTTTACCGGGGCTGCCGACAAAGGGCTTTGATGTCGGCAGGGGAGTGTCCAGATTAGCGCGCTGAGCGGACAAACAGTTGATCAGCTGTTTGTCGGCTCAGCGCGGCAGCCATGTAAATGTAAATGTAAATGTAAATGAAGCGATCATTTAAATCGGGGCTTCATTTACCTTTGCCAAAACAACAAATTTACATGGCTCCGTCGACGGAGCCATGTAGTTTAGACGTACCCTTACAGAGTGAAACTTAGTTTGCAATACAGGAGGGTAAGTCCCTACTTGTTTCACCACACTGATGCCTCAGTGGGCTCTCTTAGGGGCAGTCTATGCTGCACACTTCTTCTGGCAGCATGAAGTGTAAATACAAAGCACAAAGGCCTCACACAATATAAATAGTGGGGTGTTCCCTGGGCAAGTAAAGGCACACCGGCACTCTGTGGTACATTCCCTAATGGCTCTCCAAAGCTATGTCTACACTGGTGGGTTCTTGTGCAAGAACGGCTGTTCTTGCGCAGAGCGTTCACACTGCCCGCCCGCTCTTGTGCAAGAAGATTTACAGTATGGTGTCAGAAGACAGGGTTTCTTGTGCAAGATCCACACTCTTTTCTAACAGGTGTAAGCCCTCTTGCGCAGGAGTGCTTGCGCAAGAAGGAAATGTGGACGTGCTAGCATGGCCATCAGAGCTTTCTTGCACAAGAGAGTATCCACACTGCCATGGATGCTCTTGTGCAAAAGCACATGGCTGTGTGGACGTGTTCCTGTGCAAGTATTCTTACGCAGGAACCCACAAGTGTAGACATAGCCCATGTGTTCAAGCATTGCCCTCTGTGGCAGGGTCAGGCCAGGGAGCTGCTGGAGACAGGGGAAGAAGGCAGCCCAAAAGGGGGTAAAAACCTGTAATTAGGATCAAAGAGCTGCAGGCTGATTAGATGCATCTGGGAGGGAGTTGGCTCAGGCAGAGTGGGGCCAGCTGGTTCCTCTGCTGGCTGACTGAGGGCCTTTAGAAGCCTCAGCAGTTGGAAGCTGGGGAGAGTGAGAGGATGGAAGGGAGGTGGTGGAAAGATAGGGAGCAAAAGTTTAGAGAGAACAATCCATAACTGCATTAGGCAGAAGCAGCTAGGGAGGTAGTCTGAGGAGGCGTGTCCAGGCTCCCTATTGCAAAGACCTGCTGCAAACCCCAAACTCTGGGGTTAGGAGCAAGAGGCCTGCCCAGTGGTGGCCTGTGTAAAAGGGGCCCTTGTCACATCTCCCTCGGCACTGCAATTTTTAGCAGGGCACTTAGACTATGTCTACGCTGGCGGGTTCTTGCGCAAGAACAACTGTTCTTGCACAAGAATCCACAGAGTGTCCACATGGCCCGCCCGCTCTTGTGCAAGAAGATTTACAGTAAAGCGTGGGAAGAGAGGGCTTCTTGCGCAAGAGCTATGCTCTTTTCTAACAAGTGTAAGCCCTCTTGCACAAGAGCTCTTGCGCAAGAGGCCAGTGTGGACGCGCGGCAGGGGTTTCTTGCGCAAGAAAGCCTTATGGCTAAAATGGCAGTCAGAGCTTTCTTGCACAAGAGAGCATCCACACTGCCATGGATGCTCTTGCACAAAAGCACATGGTAGTGTGGATGTGTTCTTGTGCAAGAGTTCTTGTGCAAGAACCCGCCAGTGTAGACATAGCCTTAGTGTTCCACAGCCCGGAATCCTTCCTTGCTGCAAGAGAATCTGGCTGTTCCTTCCTGCAAGAGCGTGGAGATTTTCCCTACTGCAGGGAAAGGCTTGGGCACTGGGGAGACAGTGAGGAAAAGCTCCAGCAATTCCCCGCTGCCAAAGCCATCCTTCCCTAAAGCCTTTGATGCATGTGGGCTGAACACTGCAGTGTGGACTTAATTTCTCTTTTGCTATGGTGCATAGATGTACATACCAGAAATGGTGCCACCAGTGAGTAGTGTGAAGTGCAGATTAAGGAACAGGTTGTGCTGTTTGGTGATTTTGAGTCAGGCCATATTTTTGGAGTAGAAGCAGCTTCACAGTGCTCCCAATGACCTATAGAGATGATTATATTAGCCCCCCCCCCTCCAAAAAAAAATTAGTATCTCTCAAACTTTGTCATATGGGCACACTTTAATGTTTAACATGAAATCTGCAGGGAGTGCATTTAGCCTCTGGAGAGAAGTAGTGATTTTGTGGTTGTCATTGGCCTGGAGCTCAACACATCAGCTTTCCATTCTTAGCAACATCTCAGTCTGCCTGCGTGTGACCTTCTATTTTGGTTATTTATTCTCTCTCTGCTTCAGTTCCCCATATATAAATCAGGTATAATTAAACTTCCCTACTATAAAGCAGTATTGTGAAGTGCCCAGATACTATGTTATTAGAGCCATATATATATTAGATTCCCATTCCCCTGTTCCTTTTCACAAAACCTTACACCAGTCATGGACATATTTCTTACTGCTAAAGTGATATAAAATTGGAATTTTCCATCTGTCATTTCACATGACTCAGGACAGGTGGGAGGTTTATATAGCACATTGAATCAATTAACTTATCAATTAGTTCATGGGTTTGAGTGCTATATAAGTAGAGCTGGAAAGTAGTAAATTGGCATTTTTCAGGTCACTAAAACTATTTATGATTTGGGGTTGTATTTTGAAAAAAGTTTCAGCCAAAAATAAAAGATGCTTTCACAAGTTATCAGTTCATTTTGGCCATTTCAAAATAAAATGTTTCATTTTGAAAGGGTATTTTATTTTGAAATGTAGCTTTTTCTTTAAATACAAAGAGAGAGGGATAAAAGCACCTGAAAATGACCCACCAAAAATGAATCCTTTCCCTCCTTCAAAAACCATATTTTAATTTTTACATGTTAGTGGGGGAAAAAACAAAAATGAAATAAAAAAATCGGTTTAGGATTGAACCAAAACAATTCAACCCATTTTTTCCCGGTCTAGGCCCCAGTTACTCACTCAGCTCTCTATATAATGTGCTAAATATTGTTTATTGTTATCACTATTTAATTTATTATGGGCAGTGTGTGTGTGTGTGTGTGTGTGTGTGTGTGTGTGTGTGTGTGTATGTATGGGGGGGGGTGTTCTGTGCACTAACCACAAGGTCAGACAGTACACAATAGTATTGTGATCAACAAAATGCAGGACTATCTGACTAGCAAAGCACATTTAATGCTTTTGCATGGCTTTTTTTTATCCCTACAGAACAAAAATATTGAGAAAAGGAATTTCTCTTGCAAAACTAAAGTGCATATTTTGGAGTGGAAGATGCAGGTCTGAAATAGATACTTATGAAAATGTAATAAATATAAAAACTATGAAATAAGAAAATATGATTTAAATATCAGAAATTCAGTGTAAGTGCAGGTGTATGTAAAAGCTACATTTTAAGTCATCAAAGAAAGTTGAATGCCCAGTAGACAATATTTAAAAGTAATATTTATTATTTGCATTTAGATTTTTTAGTTTGCTCTATCCATTTTCCTGGGTATGTACACAATTAATTCAGATCACAAAAAGTCAATTTAACTTCTCAGTAGATTTGAACCAGCTGACTTAAAGGAGAAAAGCTCTATATTCTATTAGAAATCTTGAGAGCCATCTACAGAGTCACAAACATGTAAGATGTATTCCCTTATCCACATTTCCAACCACACACCATTTTTCTTTTAGTTTTTTCTTTACTGTTAAGAAGAAACAGCTTGGAATATTTCACTCTCTTCATTCTTGAATTTCTCTGGGATCATTCCAAAGAAATAAATGCATTAGAGAATTTTGTTCCATATTCCTGCTTTTTTGGAAACAATTTCCATCAATTCCCCATTGTCACAGAGCAAGTGCTAGTACTTTACATTCCTCTCACATTTTCTATGTTCGGATTGCTAATTGATGAGACCTAGACCCCCAACTGTGTAGCCAATGCTGCCAGGTAACATGGAAGTTAAAATACTCTGTCAAGTTTAGTTAAGATGACAGAAATATTCATTTTTAGCATTTGTACATATTTTTCAGTGAATTTAGGGTTCATGATGCTAGACTAACAGCTCTGGAGACTAAAGTGTTTTTTTTAAACCTATGGAACAGGTGCAGAAGGGTAGATTCAGTTCAAGATTCTCAGATCACCCTGCCAGTGCACCTTAACTGATCCGTAGGGGCTGTGTGTAAGGATTAATAATGTCTCTGTATCCAGAATAATTTCTTGGACAAATCTTTGGACTATCTGGCCTCTATTCAGCAAAAATTTAAGTGCATGCTTCATTCCATCCTTGTTGAACAATGCACTTGAGCACGTTTAACTTTAAGCAGTCTTTAAGTTCCACTGAACCAAAATTATGATCCCATGGAAGCCACTGGGACTTAAAAACAAGCCTGAAGCTGAGCATGGGCACAAGTATTTGACTGAATTGGTGACTTTAAGATTGCTCTGTGAAAATGGGTGTCAGATATAATGGTATGTTTTTGGATATAGGCACACAAGATTTGGACCACAAGCTCATTTAAATTAGCCCATCAGAGAGTCATGACTTTGAGCCTCTACGGAGTTGGACAGTTCTGTGTTTGTCATATATTTCTTTTCATTTTGTCAATGTGGCTCATCATAGGGAAAATAGTTTAATTACTTTTGCATCTTATCGTGTAGACATGCTTTTGTTAATCCTCCTCTTAGATTTTGATCCCGGTTAAGGATCAAACAAATTCTTGATTGACATTGGAGACTACATCACAGTGCACATTTTAAAAAAAAAATGTCTGCAGATATGTGGCGATTCATTTTTATCTGAAAAAGAAGCTACGAGGCTTTATTTGTTCCTATTTCCCATAGAGTCCTCTACTGGAAGTTTTAGGAGAGCACATCTAAATAGTGATCTCAGAATAGATTTTGGAGGGCATGTGGAAGGATTGCTTATCAAAGATCAGAACAAAAAATAAAAAGGCCTTTCTTTTTGTAGTTTTACAAACTCCGTGCCCTAGTGCCATTAATCCTCCACTTGAACAATTCTTCTTCTATTCACTTTATTTAACTTTTTTCTGAAAATAATGGTTTTTCAGACCAATTTTAGCGTGAGACATAAAGATGTAAATGACTCTGTGGTTCTCAGGAGCAGGCATTTTCATAGTTAAAATAAGATTCACATAGATCCCTTGTTTTTCTACTGGTAGATGTATCTCCAGCAGACACTTTGTATTCTGTAAAATTAAAAGACCTTCTACTGTATGTGAGATGAGCGCTAAGGACATACATTCATTTTTTCCATAAATTTCTGTGTTTCAGCTTTAGAACTATGACACTCAGGTTAACTAGAATCCCCCAATTTTTTTGTGTGTGGGTTGATAGACTAATTCACCCATTTGAGGAAGGGAGCACATATGCAATACCGTGTGTATTGTAACACACAAACACATAGGCGGTAGTAGTGGTTAAGTCTGTGATAGAAATGAATAAAATAAATAGAATAAAAGATCTACAAAATGATGGCTAATATTCAGCCCTGGTGCAGGATGGTGCATGCAACTCCTTTGAAGCCAAAACTAAGTTTGCTCCCTCTCCTTTCAATTATTCTTTTCAGGCAGGATGTTGCTTTTAATTCAGTACAATGCAGAAGATATTAGGATACAGTATGATGACCAATGATCAATGTGATATTCATACAAAATTATAAATGCTGAATATTGTATTTGTGGGTGGATTGGCACATTTGAGGAAGCAGGAGTATTGTTAATGGTGCTGATTTTATACAGTTGTAAATCCAAGTCTAAAATGACTTTAGCACACATGTACATGGATTTGTGTTTGAGTATAAAATAAAAGAGATGAGTTATTGTCTTTCTGAGATAGTTATTTGTCACTTGAGTGCACCAGACTAGTGAATATGCAAAACTTATTCCAAAAAACAAACGTGTAGGTACATACAATCTTAATATAACAAAGTACATTTGGTTCTGTATGTGATGAATCTTCTTTCATTGTGTGGACCAGCTGTTGAGAATGTGAGAATAATCTTGCTGCTCCCAGCTCTTGTATGCCAGTGTGCCCAGAATTTTGGGCTATTAAGCTTCCAAGATTTAATTTACATTTCTTAGTAATGTTTATTTTTTTCAGCTCAGGCTGAGAGAATGCAAGAAATCTCTTGGCTCTAATTAGTAAATTTCTGTAATTGGAAAACCAGGGTTTGGGGGCAGAATCAAAATTATGTTCCTGATAAGAGCTGGGTGAAATTTGTTGCCTGAAACTTTCTTTGGTGAAAAGTGCAGATTTGGCAATATTGAAACATTTCATAGATTTGTGTTGGGTCTGCTAAATTTTTCATGTCTAGGGCGAAAAAAAACCCAAATCCAAAATTCCAACCAAGTCACAACATTTAATTTTGACGTTTATTAAATGTTTAATTTTTTTCATTTGAAATGACTTTGTTTTGAATATACATCAAACAATAATAAAAAATTACAAAATTAAAAAGCTTGAAATCAAACTGTGACATTTATATTTTGGTAGAAATAATGTTTTTATTCTTATTTTAATAAAAAAATTTAATTCTCTCAATTTTTTAAAAATATATTATTGGTTTAATACCACACAACTTTTTTTTGCGGTGGGGGGGATGTTTGACAGTACTGTAAACCAAAAAGTCCATTATTATGATGATAAAGCCAGAGAGCCTGTTTTCTACCACTGACTTTTGTGGAAACAGGATTAAGACTGAAGTTTAGCAAAGATTAGTAATTAAAATTTCATTGCTGTGGAGCTAGTGGTTGCAGAAATTCATGCATGCAATTAATGTAATACTATATATATATATATATATGAATGTTTAATCTCTATCGCTGTGCCAAAGAAGAGGGCGGAGGAAGTCCAAAAGGTAGAAGAGGTTTGTAATAGGGTGTGTTGGTCCTAAAAGACTAATGATGGACCCCATGTTAGTATTTCAGGCACAAGTACGTGTATCATGGGGAACATACTCAAGTGGTAGTGTTCTTGGAAGTTCAGCTGGGAGTTTGGGAATAATGCTTAGAGTTTTGTCTCTTTACTTGGCCTCAGAGGCCAGATTTCAACTGTGCATAGGATGGAGTTTTCTTTCTAATACTTCCCAGGAAAAGGGGTCAAAATATTTAAGACCTCCCTTTCTTCAATTCAAGAACAGATTCAAAGAAAGCTGCAAAAGCTAAGAACTCTCTGCTAAATAAGGGAATGAGATGATGAAAAGAGACTTTTGGATGAGTTTGACTGACAGACTGGTTTGGAGAAAGGAGTGTGCAACAGACATAGGCCATGAGCGATGTGGGCCCATGGTGCCCGGGTATCAAGAATATTCCTGGCCAAGGGACTCAGCTCCACAGAAGTTCAGGGCCAGGTGTCTCTCCTGCCTGCTGCCTCTGGGTGATTTTGCCACTTGCTCCACACTGCTGCTGGCATGTCCCTATAGCTCCAAGGGGGAGGAGAGGGAAGGCCACGGGGTAGCTATGCATAGCTCACATTGGGGAGTCCAGGGAACAGAACATGGAGACTCCCCACCCCCGACTGCAAGGACGCACGTGTTGGCCATTGTGCAGAGTGAGCAGCAGGAAGCTACTCTAGCCCTGTTGTGTTGCCTGTGCCAGCAGTGGAGGCCACTGGGGCTATTTTAAGTCACCCGGGGGCAGCGGGCAGGCCGGAGGAAGCACCCAGGAGGAATCTGGGGACAACAAACTGAAAGCAGCATGTGGAGACCCCCCTCCTCCACCTTCCCAAGAGCTGCTGCTAAAGAGGGGTGCCCCAGGTAAGTGTGGCACCTCTTACCCACACACACCCCATTTCCTCCCAGAGCCTGCTCTCCATCTCTCCCTGCCCTCCCATCTGTGTAGCATCTTGTGCTGATCGTTGCAGAGACAGGATACCAGACTATATGAGCTACTGGTCTGATCCACTATGGCAGTTCCAATGTTCCTATGAAAATTGGTACTTTGGCTGTCCATACAAACATACACATATGTAACCCACACACCTAGTGTGGTTCACTGTCCCATGCAATGGCACCTAGGCCATAGCAACAGATAAGACCCAGAGATCTCTATAGCAGGGGTTGGGAGCCAGCTGGGTTTTAGCTCAGAGGCTAGAGGCTCTTATACTGAGGTCCCAGGTTCAAATCTGCCTGCGGTTACACATGCATTTCTGCAAGTTTATTACATGCTTTGGCCTTCCATTTGCCTTCTGAAACCTGCTGAAAGCATTAAGCATTTTCAGTTGAAAGATATCATCACAATATGTGCATGTTGCTAAATAATCATAACATTGATCCTTATACAAATGTGTACTATGAACATGCTTAGAAGCTGAAACAAAGAAGCCTGACAGCAAAATGTTCCATGTGTAAACATGGAAAAACCTGTAACATAAGCTTATCTCCTCTAACAGGCTTCAAAACATTAAAGATAATGGCACATTTTATTATGAACTTTCCTCAGTTGTTCTTTATTGATCTGTGAAGTCTGACCCTGGGTAAGGGCTGAAGCTAATCACTTACTTCAGCTGGTTTGTTGCCCCATTTTCTAAACTTCATGTAAATAGATATCTATTCCATACTTTCATTTTGTTCTTGAAATCTCATTTGTGCCAGTAACTGATCATGTGGTGCTGCATTAGTAAATGTTGAACCTCTCTAAACTGGGACTTCCTGGTCCGGCAACATCGACCACTGACGTTTCTTGACCAGAGAGTCCCATTGGAGGGCTGGAGGCAGGAGCCCTCTGGGGACCAGGAACCCAGCTGGGCTGGCTGCAAGGGGTTGGTAGTCAGGAGCCCTGCTGCAACTGTCTGGCTGGTCCTGTGGCAGGGCAGCTGGAGCACCAGCGAGTTCTGGCAGGGCAGCAAACTGCTGTAGCGAGGACAGGAGCCCATGGTCAGCAGGGCAGAGGGCTGCC